GAACGAACCAACAAGTTACGCGTCAATCATCTGAAGGAACGAACCAACAAGTTACGCGTCAATCATCTGAAGGAACGAACCAACAAGTTACGTGTCAATCATATGAAGGAACGAACCAACAAGTCACGCGTCAATCATTCGAAGGAACGAACCAAGAAGTCACGCGTCAATCATCTGAAGGAACGAACCAACAAGTCACGCGTCAATCATCTTAAGGAACGAACCATGACCAGAGCTGGACCTTCAGCCTCTGAGAAGTCCGCTAAATAAGAATTAAAGTTAATGATTAAAAATGATCAGCCTTTAGAGACGTTTCTCCAGATCTGAGAAACTCAAACAGGCTCAGATTATCTTCAACTACTCCTGATCTGAAGTCTAATCTGTTCCAGAACATGTTTGGTTCTAATAGAACTTTCTACTGAAAACACAGATCTCCTGAACATTTCTAAATCCAGACTCTCACGTGTTTAATTTCCAGAGTTGTGAGCAGATCTTTGAACGTGGTCGTTGATCAGTGTATCCTGAACAAACGACTGCATAAGGCATCGGTAATCTGCAATAATCTGTACCAGTCAGTAATCTGCAGTAATATGTAGTAATCTTCAGTAATCTGCACCACAGTAAGTAATCTACAGTAATCTGCACCACAGTCAGTAATCTACAGTAATCTGAAGTAATCTTCAGTAATCTGCACCACAGTAAGTAATCTTCAGTAATCTGCAGTAATATTTAGTAATCTGCACCACAGTCAGTAATCTGCAGTAATCTGTAGTAATCTTCATTAATCTGCACCACAGTCAGTAATCTACAGTAATATGCAGTAATCTGTAGTAATCTTCATTAATCTGCACCACAGTCAGTAATCTACAGTAATCTGCAGTAATCTGTAGTAATCTTCATTAATCTGCACCACAGTCAGTAATCTACAGTAATCTGAAGTAAACTTCAGTAATCTGAAGTAATCTGCACCACAGTCCGTAATCTACATTAATCTGCATTAATCCGTAGTAATCTTCACTAATCTGCACCACAGTCAATAATCTACAGTAATCTGAAGTAAACTTCAGTAATCTGAAGTAATCTGCACCACAGTCCGTAATCTACAGTAATCTGCATTAATCTGTAGTAATCTTCATTAATCTGCACCACAGTCAATAATCTACAGTAATCTGAAGTAAGCTTCAGTAATCTGAGTCTCACTGAGGTAGAAAAGGTCGTTGGTGGTGCTGCTGAAGAACCAGTCTCCGTTCTTGTTCGTGCTGAAGTCCAGCGGCGTCGACGAGCCGTTCCTGCTGTCGGTGATGTGGAAGTTGTCCGGACTCTGGGTGAAGTTGTGGTTGATGATGACAAACTGATCTGACTGTGGGGCGACAGGAAACAGGAAGGAAGCTGTTCTGAAATGAGCTGCAGGGGAATTAACTTCTTATGGTGGGACAGATCTTACGTTACCTTAAAACCATAAAACTTTGCATCGTAGGTGATGTTGGTGATCTGATCCGCGTTGACAAAGTACCAGTTGTAAGTGTGTCTGGTGGGGATCAAGGCCATCCAGCCCATAGGATGAGTCAGTCTCTTCTTGAGGTAGGGGACCACGCTGCTGCCTGAGGGGACAGCAACACTCATCAAACACACAGAGGCTCAGCTGCCACCAGCAGGGGGCGCTGAGCGGCAGGACAGCTCGTACCGTGAGAGTTGGTCAGGATCACATCCTTGGCATTCAGAGAGCTCGGGGAGGGGTTGTTGAACGCCAGGCGGTGGAAGCCGACGGTGTGGTCGCACACGGCGCCGGGGAAGCCCACGCTCCATTCAGGACTCTGGGAGCAGTGCGCCGGGTCCAGCAGCTTGCTCATGGGCACCACTTTGTGGTTGATGTTTCCTGATAATGGAACATGCAGTTTGTGACAAACAGCTTCAGAATCTGTAGGAAAACACTGAAGGTCTCCAACCTGGCTCTGTGGTGTCGGTAAGAACCAGTCCAAACCTCCTGACCCAGTCCTGACCTCCTTGATCCAGACGTCGTGTTCTGGATCAACAGTTTTCCTTTCTGAAGGACTTGGGTTGGTTTTTCTCAGATTTTAAGAACGTCTGTTTTCTTGGAGGTGACGTGAGGAGGTGAGGACTGGATCAGGACCGGTACCACAGAGACTCATGTCAGTAGAACCAGTACCTGTGAGGGAGCCGTCCGTGTCCACCAGCTGCACTTCATGCTCCCATCTGAAGCCAGCCTTGTTCGGGGAGTTCATGTACCGGATGCCACTGAACCGGACCGCCCAGCCGCCGCACCGGTCTGTGCACGTCCCGTCGATGGACGTCACCCCTATGGCGGAGCAGTTGTTGCGGTCAAAGTTGATGAAGTTGGTGTTGAGGACGCTCATGCCGTCGTCGAACGGCGTGACGACTCCACGGCTGGTGCAGTAGTCGCTGCCCAGCCCGAGCTCATCCACGTGGCCCACGATGGTGCTGTTGGACACAGCGGCGCCGCCGTTCTCTCCGAAGCCGCTCACAGCCCACTGAAAGATGCGTTTGGATTCGATGCCGGCCTTCTCGTTGTTCACCATGACAAAGCTGTTGAACTGCACGGCACCGGCGTTGACCCACTCAGCACCTTTCTCACAGTTCCAGGTGGTCAGGGACCGGAAGACGGCGGGTTCTGGGACGCTGGAGCTGCAGCCCCCGCTCTTCATGGGGAAGAATTCTTGGAAGACCCAAAGGCCGAACCAGCCCTGAGAGTGCACCGTGTTGTTGTAAAACTCCCCGAGGGGAACCCTCTTCTGGCAGATGTTCGGGTCGTACGACGGGCCATCGGGATGGTCGTGCATGCGGTACCAGAAGCCGAAGTGCGTGCCCCCGGCCGCGGCATTGTGTCGGATGATGTTGTTGGGGTTGGTGACCCAGTAGGCGGCAGGTGTGACGTCGTCGTTGAGGAGGCTGGTGCTCTGCTTGACAAACACGGCCAGGTTGTACTGCAGGACGTTCTGCGTCTCGATGCCGTCCTCGATGAAGAAAGCTCCGCCCATGATGTCGTAGATGACGTTGTGCTCCACCAGCAGCCGATGGGTGTTGTGGATGGTCACGGCCCTGTTGAACGTCTGATGGATGGCGCAGCCTCTGACATACGACTTGTAGTTGATGTCTCCCATCAGATGCCAGTGGATGGGGTACCGGCCCAGCCTGAAGGCCTGTCCTGCATGGAAGATCTGTCCCACGAGGTAAAGTTAGCGCTCATCATGATGCCTTCAACTCAAACATCAGACAAGCTTCAAAGCTTCTCACCTCCACGTACTCCAGCCTTCCTATAGCTAGGTTTTCTCCCGGCCTGGGCGCGTGGAACATGATGCAGCCTCCAAACTGATCACTGCCCACTTCTTCTCCAAAACGACCCTGGAAACACGTCTGAGTGGCGAACTCACCTGCGCGCCACAACAAACACAACATTTAAGAATGTGAGATTTAAAATAGAGAACATAAAAACGCCCCGCCCCAGTACCTGTGTTGAAGCCGTCAGGGCAGGCTTCGATCACATCGCTCCATTCTTGTTGTTGGGAGCCTCGCACCACAATGTTCCTGGTCAGGAGACCCACCTCAGCTCTGGCCTGGAACACCGAGCCGTCCGGCAGAGACACCGACACCCCGAGGTGGCTGTAGGTGAGCGCCTCGGTCAGGGTGAGAGTCTTCCCGTCGGCTGACACGGCGGCGATCGTCCTCACTTCGTTTTCTTTTTGACTGTGCCTGAAAAAACAACAAGATTTAACTTTCTGAAGAAACTCAAATTATTACGACTCGAAACAAAAACTGAATCCACTTTGAACACGCAAACTCCGCCCAGAAAGGCCCCGGGCTGGGGTTTGAACCGGGGCGACCTGCTCACTGAGAGGCGACAGCTCGACCAACTGAGCCACCGTGCTGCCATATAGAAATTTAGTTACTGAATTAAAATTGACCGTTTGAACAAAAATACAACAAAATGTTATTAAAGTGTTTGAATTTTTGTCATTTTAAAAATAAAAAACATTCCAGTCTTGTGTAAAAAAAAAATTAAATGTATTTTAAAAAATGAGAATAAACAAAAAGTCCTTTCTTTTTAAATATATGATGGCTTCACACATAAAACCCACATGTCACATTATATTTTATAACTGGTAGATGAAATATAATATTCATGTTGTCGTTGACTTGAGTCACATTTACTGCGTGACCTCGTAACGACTCCGCCCACTTGAACGCGCTGACAGCCTGGACTGAACGGGCGTACCTGTGACCTGTGGAGGCAATAACGATCTCATCCCCGGGTTTCCACGTCACCGCCTTCAGCAGGCTCAGAGCCACGGCGCCGCTGGGCGCCGTCTGGGCCAAGTGGGTCCAGGGCACAGGAACAGGAACACCTGGAAGAACAGGTAGGGTGGAGGACAGGGTCAGGTGCTGCTTCATCTGACATGTCCTGCAGGATAAACAACTCCAGTTACTGTGAAACTGAACCCACGAGAACATCAACTGATTGTTTGGGTCTCGGGTGTATCGACTTTCTGATGCCTAAAGTCTTTGATTTGAGATGAGGGACATCTGAGGGACCAGAGGGACAAACTCTGAGCAGTTAGAAATGGTTCAGTAAATAACCTAAATAAAGAAAGGAGAGTAACTGGTCCTCTCTGATCAGCAGCACCTTTCATCTGGTTAATCTGAACAAAAAGTCATAAAGAAACTTTTTCTGTAGAAGAAATAAAAATGGCTTCTCATCTTTATGCTGAAATAATTGTCTCCCGACTCCATAATTGTCTCCCGACTCCATAATTGTCTCCCGACTCCATAATTGTCTCCCGACTCCATAATTGTCTCCCGTCTCCATAATTGTCTCCAGTCTCCATAACTGTCTCC